GATGTACATGCTGTGGCCAATTACAGCTCTGGTGTAATGACTTATCTCTCCCCAGCTGCAGGATATTCTCAGGAGGGAGGATTTACTGGTAGATATTGGTTTGGGGTGAGTGACATTTGTTGGTCAATTATATATCAAACATGTCCATCCTTTCCCAGTAGTACTCCAGGAAAGGATTTGTCCCAGAGGAGGTCTGTCTCTTCCAAGACTTGGGGTGCCTAGATGTTTGATGAGTCACAGTCCAAGGGTTGAAATTTATTTCACTCTGCAGACTGTGGTCACTCAATCATGATAATGCTTTATTGCCTTTTGAAGAATCCCAGAGAAATAAAAATACAGTTTAAACTTCTTCTTCAAAATTGATATAACATTAGGAAGCACAGTATGACCTTGGAGTCGATCCACTGTACAAGGTGTAGTCATGTATATTCTGAAGCCATGGAGTGAATTGTACATGTTTATGCGTTAAAGAATAGGCAATTTAGAACCTTTCCTTCTAAATCCCCAGTCTTCTTGCCAAAAGCATTTAGCTGCGCTAAGTATATACACTTTCCTTTATTAGCAGATTAGCTTTGGATAGTCTATCAGCAGAAGAGGTACTTTGAGGCCTTGGGGGTAGTAATGAGGTTCTTTAGAGACTGAGAACATTAATGAAAAATAACTTCAGACTAGATTTAGCAAAAGAAATGGATCACAGTCTTGGAAGTATCCTTGGAGAAGACAAAGTTTTGTGTTGCCAATGGGAAAAGTGAAGCTGAGTGGATAAATGTTTTGCCCAAGATCTAATAGCTTAGCTGTGATCAGAGTCAGGCCTACATTAATGATTGCTGATTTACACTTCCACTCCTCTATGATGTGTGTTTGGTATGATGAACAAGCAAAAAATAGCAGTTGACTAAAGAATTTAGGGTGGACAAGGAATTGAAGTAGAAATAAATCATAATTTAAAAAAGAGGTGCATAGATGTTTTTGAGCTTGGGAGAAATTCTATTTGTTAACCTTCTTTCCTTCCTCCTAATAGTCCTCTATATTTCCCATTTAATGGACCAGCCTTTTTTTTCTTTAACTTTAGTTGGAATAAATTTGTAAATGACATATTTGTGATACTTGCATACAGTTTAATTAAAAACATGTTTCTTCTTTCTCATCACCGTTTCATTTGTTGAAACTATTGCCACTGCTAAGTTGCTGCTGTTAACATCTCAGTGACTTAGAAGAACAGTCAGTGTTCACTTGCTGTTAGATGGAGGAAAAGGGGGAAAAAGTGTACATAATTTGAGAAAAAGAGAGAACACATAGTATTATTATGAGAGGAGAACAGATTTGGACTTTCCAGTGTATTTGAGAAGAAATACAAGCATTTAGAATCATTGCTTCAGTTGTGGGTACTAAGATTAGGATTATCTTTGCCCCAGATGTTTTCACGTTACTCTATGCCTTCCTTGTTCCAGAAGTAGGAGGGGTTTTATTTTTTTATAACAGATTACCAGTATATAATTGACATACAATAAACTGTATACATTTAATGTACAGTTTAATAAGTTTTGACACATGTATATACAAATAAAATTATCACCATTAAATAATTAACATATTCATCATCTCCAAAAATTTTCTTCAATCCTTTGTCATCCTCCTGCCCATGTTTCACTATCCCTCTACATCCTGTTCCCAGGAACCACTGATGTGCTTTCTGTCATAGATTTCTGAGATTTTATATAAATGACCTCATACAGTACATACTCGTTTTTGCCTTGTTTCTTTCAGAATAATTATTTTTAGATTCATTCATCTCGTAGCATGTATCAGTGTACTTTTTTTATTGTTGTTGAGAAGTAGTATTCCATTATATGGTTATACCAACTTTTGATGGATATTTAGGTTTTTCCAGTTTGCTGCTATATGAATAAAGCTACTGTGGAATTTTGTCTCTTTGTACAGACATTTGCTTTATTTCTCTTGTGTTGATATTTAGGGGTAAAATTGCTGGATCATATTAAACATGTATGTTTAACTTTTTAAGAAATTGTCAGCTGTTTTCCAAAGTGGTTATACTCTTTTACATTTCCACCAGCTGTGTATTAAATCCTAGCTGTTCTACATTCTCGCTGATACTTGATATGGTCAATCTTTTAAATTTTAGCCACTCTAATAGATGTGTAGTGGTATTTTAGGTTTAATTTGTATTTCCCTAGTGACTAATGATATTCAGCATCTTTTCTTGTGTTTATTTGCTTTCTGTGTCTGTTCTTGTGACATGCTTTTTCAAATCTTTTGCTCATTTAAAGTTTTTTTTTCTTATTGAGTTTTGAAATTTCTTTATATGTTATATATACAAGTCCTTTATCAGATATATGTATTAGTTATTTTATACCAGTCAGTGGTATGATTTTCAGTCTCTGAACAGTATCTTTTGAAGAAGTATTTGATTTTGATCAAGTATAATTTATCAATTTTTTCTTTGTATGGATCATACTTTTGTTGTTGTATCTCAAAATCTTTGCATAAACCAAGATCACAAAGGTGTTCTATGTTATCTGGGTTTATGACTTACATTTAAGTCTGTGATCGTTTTGAGTCAAGTTTTTGTAAATTGTGGGAGATATGGATCAAAGTTAATTTTTTTTTCTTGGTGTAGAGATGTCCAATTTTTCAGAAAAATTGTTGGGAAAACATTATCCTTTTACCACTGAATCAGCTTTGCACCTTTGTCTAAAATTAGTTGTCTACTTATGGATGAATCTATTTTTAAACTCTCTATTCTGTCACATTGGTTGATTTTCTGTCTTTTCACCAATACTGCACTGTTTTGATTAATATAATTTTATAATAATTCTCAAAACAAGATATTGTTAGCCTTGCAACTTTATCCTTTATCTATAGATCAATTTAGGTAGAATTATATTCTTAACAATGTTGAATCTTCTAACCCATGAACGTGATATAGCTCTTCATTTATTTAGATCTTTATTTTGTTTTTTAGCAATGTTTATTCGTTTTCAGTCTTACAGATTTTATTATTTTTCATTTAAGTAGATACACACATTTAAATTTTTTTCAATTTCAGTTGACATTTGATATTAAAATACATACACATTTAACAAATACATTTACTTAAAATTATTTTCACTTCCTTAGATGAAAATCAGTATCACTTGCCATAATTGGGAGATAATTTTGATAATCAAATAAAAACAGAAAAATAGTGTTAAATTCTAGGTAAATACTGTTACTTGCTGAGGCTCTTTTATTTATTTTTTTATTAAAAAGCATAATTATGTCTTGAATTCTAAAGACATACTTACATCAAGTTTTGTATTTTCCTTCATATATCCAGGTCTTAAAAATAATAGAAAAAGGGAACTGTTTTCTCACTAGATAATTTACTGTGTTTTAATGACTCACTAGCACTAAAATCTCATTTCTCATATTGTTGGATGTGAGTTCCACAGTTAGGGAATAACTAGATTTTAGGCTTGAGCAAAGATTCAGAGGTTTGAGAAAGTTTGGGTATTATAGAATCTGCAGATTAGGAATTCCTGAAATGGTACATCTAAGCCTTGGTTGTATTTAAATCATCATCTTGAGAATTTAAAAAGAGTCAGACCAAAAGAATCAGAATACTGGAATTGGCGTGTCTATTTTAAAATTTCCCTAGGTAGTTTCAAAGTTTTAAAAAGGTGGAAAACTATAATATCAAGACGTGGCCATGGGAGGATGGTGATGGTAGTGATAGTGTGAAGTGGGCAGGCAGGAGAAAGACCAGATTGATTAGCAGTGTCTGCTTTGGACACTGGATGTCAGTAGATGGAATGGTAAAAATGTCATTATTACTTTCCATCTTAGGGCTAGAATATAAATTGTCTGTCAAGGTAGTTGAATATTATCTTGAAGAATGATAGAATCTTCACTCTCTTTTCCATTAAGAACAAACACTCACGAATTTTCTGCTTCAAATGTTTTGGTTTAAAGCACTATGATCTTTTCTTACAATTAAAGGGATTAAATGCATATTTCGAGGATGCATTTTATAATGGCATATTTAAAGAACGTTCTAAACCAATACGTTACAACAGAAATGTGAAGTATTTTTGAAAGTTTTAACACAATTGCTGCCTATAAATAATAGTTCCAGATAAGAAATTCATAAAGACTCTGACAGCATTTCAAATATAATAATACATAGAATCCAAATTTGCATGTGTAAATAAACAGAATACAGGAGAAGAATCTGAATGTGAATCAGTTCCCTTAAGTATTTATCCATTGTTTTGACATAGCCGTAAGGCCCATTTAAAGTAGGGCATCTTTCAGGTGGAAAACATTTGCAGCCCGTTAGGCTGTGCTTTCTTATTGACACTGGCCATGCTACCATCCTGAAGGCTTCATCTGGGAAAAAGAAAGAAAAGGACAACTCTACATCTAAATCTTCGAACTTGCTTAGGGGAAGCATGGAACCTGAGAAAGGAGAATTTAAAAGTCTTGCTTAATCTAAGGGCAGTAAGAAGCATGGGAGAGGAAGTGATTCTGTGACGCTGAGGAAATCACGGGGAAACAGTGGGAGAAAAGGGCTTCTTTGGGGAAGGGATATTTGCAGGAAGGGACAGTTTTTGTGTTTCCCATTGCCCCTCCTCCCGGACGGTCCCCACTCTCCGCCTCTGGCCCTCCCTCTCCCAGGCTTCAGCGCTTGGCCAGTAGTAGACCGGGTGGGCGGGGTAGCTTCTCCAGCCTTGTCTTTGGCTCAGAAGGCCCGCAGAGCATAGGGTCATTAACTTAGTGCCCCGGGACTCCAAGCACACTGGGCATCCGCACCTCTTGGAGTCTCCAGCTCCGGGAAGCGGTGGTCCCCAACTCACTGCGAGAATTGTTTCACACTTTGTCGGTGTGTAAGTGGGAGGCAGCGGGACCACGGCCCGTCCTTCTACCCCCCGCATCCTGGTAGGGTTAGCTGTGGAAAACTCACTTTCCTGGTGCTACCCATCTCCAGACACTTCTCGAGAATGGAGCAGTCACAGTGTGGCAGCAGAGACCGCAGCGGCAGCGGCCGACCTCACCTGGCCCCGGGGCTGGTGGCGACGGCCCCTCCGCCCCCCTCTCCGGCTTTGCGGGTACCCCCAGGGATACCCGTTCCTCCAACTTTCCTGCGGCCACCCAGCCTCTTTCTGCGGGCGGCCGCGGCTGCAGCCGCCTCCACCGCGGGAAACGGGGGCTGCGCACCGGCTCCCGGGCTGCAGAGAGGGTTGGGCACGGTGGGCTGCGGCTACCCACGGACGCCCAAGTGCGCCCGTTGTCGCAACCACGGCGTCGTATCGGCGCTCAAGGGCCACAAGCGCTTCTGCCGCTGGCGGGACTGCGCTTGTGCCAAGTGCACTCTGATCGCCGAGCGCCAGCGCGTCATGGCCGCCCAGGTGGCGCTGCGTAGGCAGCAGGCCCAGGAAGAGAGCGAGGCTCGGGGGTTGCAGAGGTTCTTGTACTCTTCTGGACCCTCGGGACCCGGGCTTCAGACCTCGGGAGGCAGGATCGGAGCGGAGAATCCCCACGCGGCGAGCGTCCCTGCAGCGGTGACTGCGCTAGAACTGGGTGCCTTGAGACAAGCTAGTGGTCTGGCGACCCCTGCTTTCGAGGTTTTCCAGTCAGATTATACGAAGAAAAAGCAAGGTGAGTTAGTCTTTTATTTCCTCTTTGCAAAAGATTGTTCTGGAGAAAACTTTTGAAACGGGCAGCCATGCCCTGGAGGCGGTCAAGGAAAGTTTAAAAGAAGCATTTGTTTATGTTATGGGAAACTGCTCTGCAATATGACTTTAAAGAGGCTGTTAGAGACCCCATTACCCTCACTTTGGAAAAGCTTTCTGTTCCTTTAGACAGTAGGATAAGATAATGAAAAAGTGAAGAGTGAGTGATCATATGAGCACCTCATGTTGGGAGTTTGCGCCCAAGTTTCTATGACTTTGAGTAGAACTTTAAGTGGTCATTGAGTTAAAAGCTTAGTGAGAGGTGCTGCATTTTGAGCTTACTCTGTACTCTTTCCAGCTATAAAACCAGAGTTAATCTGATCTTGTGTGGGAAACTCACTGATAGTGGAGAGTACAGTTCTTTACCTTTGGGGCAAATCTTTGGAACCAGCTACAACTGAGGAAAAGACAAATCTACCAAAGCCTCTTTTCACCTCCTTCCCTTCAAAATTTTAAGTATTCCACCCCCAACTCCCCCTAAAGTGTAGAATGAGCTAATAGTTGAAGTTTCAACTCTTCTCATTGGGAAAAAAATTACGTTTTCCAGATTTGTAATAACATTGGTAAGAATTTCAAAGTTCAATATTTAGGGATTTCTTATCCAAGGAGTTTGAATTTTTTTCTCTTATTTATTGACTGCAAACCTCTTTTATACCTCATGTTAGGTTTACAGACACACACACACACATATACATACATATATATACACACATACATATATATATATACACTGGGGTATATAACTAAATTACAAAATGAAAGAAAAATGTAAATTTGATCTCGAAAATAAATAAATAAAAATTTCACAATCAAAATCCCACTGTAGTTTAGTAAATTTTAAAGTCCTCTACAGGGCCCACTAGCAGTGAAAATGTTATTTCCATATTTTTGTATAAACTCAGGACAGGTTGTATCGTATGAAATTATACAATGATTAAGGAAATTATTAATTCGAAAACATCCCTTGATTGTGAGAATTGCAGAGCTTAGATCATAAGATGTGCTTTTGAAAAAAGACTATCTCTGTATTTAAATAAGGCATATATGATTTTGTGTTCACCTGTGCCAATTTTTTGCCTATATTCTAGTTTATTTAAGTACACAAAATAGACTTTAAACATTTGCCATGAAAATCAAAGAGGGATGAAGAGAAAAATTATTAAATAAAAATATTATGAAAGATAAGCAAAAATTAATATTCTGTAAACTAAATTGAAAATGAGATTTGGCTGACATTTCTCTTCTAGACATTGATTTATGTATTTTTCTGGGGGGAGGATACTAAAGTATAATCTATTTTATAGGGTCAATTATTTTATTTTATTCTTTGCCTCAATTGACCACCCTTTTTTGAGACTAGTTTTGTGACTTTTCTAAACTGACCACCTCTTCTTACACAATATTGATGAACTGTAGTCTATTTAGTTTACTCATTCATTAGATAAAGACTAATAATGATTCAGAGGTGAATAAGATTTTCCTACACAAAAGAACCTTCTATTCAAAACGAGGAAAACTATATGTATCCAAAAACTGTACAACATACAATGAGAAAAGTAAAGAAGTAAAATGAGCTATAGAGAAGTTGAGAGGACAGAGCGATGATATAAATGATATCACAGTATTTTAAAGACACCTGACTTTCTAATAATCTCATGCAACCTGTATTTCATGACATTATATTATAGTCCATTAGTACAATGTAATAACAAAAAATATACATAAATTTCTTTAGAGATGAAATTTTGATACCTTACATGTTCGAGGGGGTGGTGGTATATTTAGTGAATCATTGATATAAATAAAGTAGAATGGCAAACCGATGCCAATCTACCTGCACTTGGACTTCTTTAGAAAAGTTTTACTTAAAGTTGAAAATACTAGAGAGTCTTTGTAATTTTGTAAGAGCGACATCTTTTGTTATATGTTTGATGTAAAGACAGAATTTTAACAAAATGTTAAATTGTACACAGTTTAATTTTAAAATAAACAATAGACTTTTTTTAGAATTTTGTACCTCTCCTTGAGAAAACATAGGAGTTTTGCAAATTGTGGTTGCAAATCACTGTTTTTGGCAATATTTGTTGTGTTACATTCATAAACTTTGTGGAAGAAGACAGTTTTACAGAAATATTCTGAGTACCTCACTTAGATTATATACTCTTTTTAATATAAATAGAGATAAAATATGTCTGTAGGGTAAGAGGAAATATAAACCAAAATAAAAATTATTTAGTGGATGTGTGAATTATTATTTTTCTAAAGACATTCTTATTTTATTAATATTCATATGCTTAACATGTTGAGGTAGAAAATCAGATTTTTGTGTAAAAATATTTTTGGAAAATTTTTCTTAGTATTAGAAGGGAGTTGTGATTTGAAGCAAATGCCTAATGTGTTATTTTTACCACACACTTTGAAGATCCATATAGATTGCAATAGCGCAATAGTGCAGTTTCTAATTTTTTTAAAGAAACAGTTTGACTGTAATCTCTTTTCTTGATATTTCCTAGAGATTGAAAAAGAAAGTCCATATTTCACAAAGGATTATAAAAAATACCAACTCTGTATCATCTCTCACAAAAAAATGAAATATACAACTCTGGTATGCTTTGAGATTGGTACAGCAGTAGTCAGTATTAGTTTAGATGGGAAACGAAAACAAATTTGTTATTTTTTTACTTTATTTAGTAACTTAATTGGAACCCGAAATGTGAGCATTCAAAAATCAATTGTTGAAATTTAGCATTAGTGATTAAGTAGAATATTCATTTTCATACTAAGATTGTTTCTTCTTTTGATTTTTATCTAAACTCTAATCATTTTATTTAGTTCTGTTTGCATGGTGTCATTGTGAAAAAAAAGACTCACTTGGATTACAACAAAACTTGGATAACATTTAGGAAAACTGCAAATTGACAAGATGGGGCAAACAATGTGAGATATTGGTACTACATTAACAGTTTAGGGTAACAGTAGACTGTCATTTCTGATTCCTAAATAACTACAGCATTTACATATTATATAATTTTGTGATCCTGAAATGACATAATAAATAACATTTTCCCGCTATTCTAACACTGGAATTTTCGAATGATCTTTTAAAATTCTCATTCATTAAAATTTCTTGCATTGAATAAGTATAACTAATATACTATGAGTGAATGAATTATTTTGTCCAGCATTAATTTTGAGTGGGCAGTAGTATGTTCTGGGAAGTTTTCCCTTTATTTCATTTCTTTTTTTTTCTCTTTTCCCCAGAACAAAAAGAGAGTAAATGTGACTCATGCCAGAGTGGACAAGAAGACCCAGTCTCCAAATCCCATCAACTTACCCTGGGATCATCTCTTAAGTCTAATAGTGTATTTAGAAAACTAAATGTTAGGTCATCTATTTCAGAAAACTCAAACAAGGATGATAGCATTCTGTCTCCTCAGCCTGCGGAACAATCAGGAGGTGAAGAGAGTCCCAGGTCACTATCATCCTCGGATTTGGAATCAGGAAATGAAAGTGAGTGGGCCAAAGACTTCACTGCTATCAGAGCCAGACTTTCCACAGTGTCCTCCAGACCAAGAGATCCTCTTGATATCCTTACCAGGATTTTCCCAGGTTACAGGCGCAGCCGGCTGGAAGGCATTCTACAGTTCTGCAAAGGGGATGTGGTCCAAGCTATTGAACAGGTCCTAAATGGGAAAGAACATAAATCAGACACCAGGGACCTAGCAAGCTCAGGAGAATTGGAAAATATAGCTTTTCAGAGAGCTTCAAATGTTAGTTTAGCTGGAATTGGTTTTGGAACTCTAGGGAATAAATCAGCTTTCTCTCCTCTTCAGACCACTTCTGCTTCTTATGGAGGTGATTCAAGTCTCTACAGCTTAAATTCTAGACTAGGTGTCAATCCATTACGGCTGGGATATTCCTCTCCAGGAAGAGGGCTGTCTGGTTTCATGTCTCCCTACCTAACTCCTGGATTGGTACCAGCGTTGCCTTTTCGCCCAGCTTTGGATTATGCCTTTTCGGGGATGATTAGGGATTCATCCTACCTTCCCAGCAAAGACTCTGTAACTGGTAGCAGACTGTATTCCAGGCTGAATCAGGACAAGCTGTAACACATCTGCCTATACTCCCTTTCTGGAGTGTTTTTTAGAAGTACGCAGTACAACTCCCATATCTACACCCACACTCATTAATGTGTTCACTATGTATGTGAGTGGATTATCAGGAATTAAAGATGCTTTTTTTTTTTTTTTTACAAGCAATATAATAAACTTGAAATCTAAAGACTCTTTAGCATTTATTAAGTGAAAGAATCATTTAAACGTTATATGTGCCTCGAGTAAAGCTGTTTCAGGAAATATTTTTATTTTCAACTAATGAATTTTCTCTCTAAAATATAAGCTGTAAAATTTCTATTTTAAAATTATACTTTTTAAATTTTATTGAAAAGTGGAGTTTATACTTGTAAAATATATTTGTAAGTGTAAAGCAACCCAGCATTATATAAAATTAACCAAAAGGAAGAATTGAAAAATTGAGGTACTTCTAAATAATTACTGTTTTAAACTTTTTCTTTCCTTTTGTTCCTTGTACACAGGAGAGAAAAAAAGTTATTCAAAGTATTTTAAAATATTTATTCATATATTAGTGATTAGTAAAACTTTTGAAAAGTTTGAATTCCTCGTTTTTTTTTTTTCTGAATGTCTAATTTTCCATTTATATCTGCCATTTGTGATAACAAGCGCCAGTAATAAAACATTTCTTTTTAAAGCAGATGTTGTGAATTACACAAAGGCTAATGAAGTAAATCTACGGAAATGAGACTCCGCCATCTCCTGGCCACTATCACTGATTGCAACTCAATTCTAGTAGAGTATAGGCATTAGAAACCAATGGTTTCCTAATTTTCCTAATGCATATAAACTAACCATTTTTTGAAATAAGTCATTTTGGATCACGCTACATAGGAATTTTCATATTATAAAGTGAACATCTGCGGATAAGGATTTTAACCTTTAAATGTGCTGTGCCTGTATCTGGGGAAATGTTCTTTTCCATATGTTTGTGACAAGAATATGGCAATTATTCTCAAAGGTAAAAATAATGTTATTCAAAAATTTTAAATAGCTGTTTAGATAAATTTATTGACTTTACATAGATAATGCTTAATACATTGAGGAGAGGTTATAAGATTCCAAAGGAGAAAATTTTTTGTTAAATTTTAGAGGTTTTCTTGAGATTTTTAGAATACTTTGTGTTCTTTATCTGGATCATTTGAAAGCTATTTATTTCAGTCAGTGGAAAGTCCCTGATAAAACTGCTTGCAAAACAATTTTGTGAAGTTTTCTTTATCTGTCAATGTTTATAAAGGACAGTAGCTATATTATTTTCTTTAGGAATAAATGGAAACCCAGGAGTTGTATAAGATAGTTGATGAATTAGAGATGAACAGCGTGACTTTCTAGAGATTTCTTAAATTGTGTATATGTGTGTGTGTGTGTGTGTGTGTGTATGTGTGTGAGTGTGTAATATACACTGAAGCCCTATTAGTTCTGTCATCTCTAAGGCTTTTCTATAAAGCCAAATAAGAGTATGTTTCTAAAGTATATCTTACTAGCAAATATTGTATTGAATGACTGCATAGTATCTAATGCTGATTTAGGATGCGAATATGTTTAATAGAGTATACATTAATTTTAATGGTGATTTGAGAAAGCATATCCTGTAAAAATTTTATGCAACCAATGTTTATTATTAATAAAAATGTTTTAGATTCTAAGCCTGAATCATGGTGCAACGCATGGCAAATGGTTGATATTCAATCATATACTGAGTGAAGAAAACCATTTTGGATAATAGAACTCTTTGACACTGATAAAATCAAGGAATTCTATAAAGTGGCCTTCAGACACAGTTTTGTGTACAATTTCCTGGGATTGTTGAGTCTGCTAAATGCCATTCAGGTTAGAATCCTTTATGATTCTTAAGCTGTTTTCTATTGCATTAATTCATTTATTGAATGCTATGTTTTTAAGTGCTAGATCCTGTAGAGGATACCAAACAAAATATTGCATTCTCAAGGAAGTTACATTATACAACAGAGATCTGGTTTAAAAATACAGCAATGCTAGAATTGCTGAATTCTTTATATGGTTTATATAATGTGCATGTGTTCATTTGAGAGACTGAATTGCTTTTGAACTGGGGAGAACATCCATTTTGGGCAGTATTCAAATTTTTAAACATTTTATAATCTTAAAACTTAATTTGCATTATGCTTTATATGTTTCATACTCTTTATAATAACTTTAGGACTTAATTTTATGAAATAGGTCATATTATTCAACCATTAAATTGTATGTGAGAAAATAGAGAATCAACACTAATGTTGTTCATCCTCAGTGTTACAATAATAGTGTCAGTAATCAGAAGTGGAAGTTACTTCTCCAATTTCAATTAGACTTTAAGTTCTGAGGAAGGATTCATGTCTGTCCACTCACAGCTTTGTACAGTATCTGGTATGTAATAGGTGCTCAGGTAATAGTTTTCCACTGACTGAATTAAATAAGAGATAAAAACAAAGCATTACCTTAGAAATTCATTTATTTGACAACTATTTACTAAGCATTTACTTTGTGCCAGGCACTATACGGGGGGATGAAGAGGTGACTAAAATGCAAAACTTTGCCTCAGGTTGTTCACAGTTTATATTACTATGTGTACAAAAACAACCAGCCAACTAGTTCTTGGTGCTATTTGACCTTGTTGTTAACACCAATGAGTGTTTTGTAATCTTGATGTTTATGCCCATGGATGCTGCTTGAGGCCTGAGCTCCTAAGCCTCTAGGGATGCGAAGGAAAAGGGAGAATATCCCTTTCTGTGTAGTATGTTTAGGAAAGTCCATTCTATTTGTCTGAAAGGTAAGCAACTTCCAGGCCCATGATGAAAGACATGGGCAAAGAGGAAGCTTTTGTTCACTTGAACTGAGTCTTGTGTGGAAGTTACCCAAGCTTCCTCATGGCCTCTGGATCAGAATTATTGCCCAATCCCAATCTCAGGGTTGGTCTTTTGGAATTCATCTGATTCAGTGCCTAGGCCTCCTGACCTAAGCTCTATTCTAGCTATTCTGTGAAAATGGGTTAGATTTGAGGGGACAATTGAAGAGCATGTGAGTCTAATGATCTATTGTTTTTCTCTGCAGCTTCTGAAACAAAATAATTCTAGGAATTTTAAGACTTCTCCTCTTAGAAATTCCTAACTATGAACTTGAAAATAAGAAAAGTAGTTATGAAGTTTCCTTACCATTCAACTCCTTATTTTTAAAGTGCAATTTTTAGACATTTGTTTATCTTTGAAATTAAAAAGCCTTCAAAATATCAGAGAAGCTTAGGAAAAAGCACCTTATTATATACCACTGTAAATAGAATCGATTACCTGTGCACAAGATGAGATGTGTATCATCAGCTTCATAAAGGCAAATCTTCCCTCAGGGCAGCCTGATTCTTAAGTGTAGATGCTCATCTTTTAGTTCAAGGGTAGTGGGAAAAATTCCTGCTCAGATTCATTGCTCCCCACTGCCCCACATCTCCAAATAATTCTGTTATGATGCCTGAATTGCAGAGCTAAGCACTTAGTTATTTGGCATCATCCCCTTAAGAGCAGTTGTGCCAAACATTAAAATACTTTTTTTTGTTTGTGTGTTTTTGCTTACAAAGTGTTATTCAAATGAGAGAAATTCATTATCATTTCTCCTTTCAGAATTCATGCATAGTGATGGTGGGTAGGTGGGCTTCAGGGAAAGATGAGACAAGGATAATAAATATGAAGATGTCTGTTTCTCACTTTGGCAAATTTGATAATATTAAAAAAATCTGACTTTTAAATTTTTTTAGACTGTGTCATATATCATCAAGTCAAAGTGGCCACATTATGTAGTCTTATGAAGACATTGATAATTTAAAAAATGGACGCACAAATGCAGCTTTATCAAAATATGTCAAAAATTGCTTTAAATATCAAATATTTATTAAAATTTGTTTTATAGATAAGTTCATCAAGAAAAATGGACTATATATTGGTAAAATTAGGAGGAAATATGTAGAAAGTTGAGCAAGCATGCCAAAGAATATTGATTAGAAAATCCATGTCAACCAGGAGATATTTTAGATTTTTATCCTAAGCCTTTTATAAAATTTCTGTCAAATTATATGAAGGAATAAAGACATAAAATTCAGTGTTATTTGTGGGCAACACATTTGATAATGGCAGCTAATCTTTTGGATGACAGAATCAAGTTTCAAAATGATTGATTCTCCATTCTATTGTGCCTATATTATATATTAAAGATCCTTCTCATCTCCATTCTGTTGTGCCTATATTATATGTTAAAGATTCTAAGATCTTTGCATTCATAAACAATAGGGAGAGATATGGAGTCAAAATTTTTTTATGAAAAAAAGTAGTGTTATTTATTGATTGGTAAATTCACCATGAGATTACCATGTAACATGGCTGTTCTAAAAGTCAATTGAAATTTAGATTGCATTATTAAGAATAAAGTATGTAGAATGAGGGAGGTGATAGAATGATATACTCTGGAACATCACTCGGTCAGATATTAGCTAAAGCAGTGTGATCAGTTCTGAGTGCTATACACTAAGTGATTCTAAAACCTGAGGTATAAACAGAGAGTCATAAGATGCTAAATTGTGATTGTGGTGGCACTGCTTGTTTTGTTAGAAAAAAATTTAGAAGTGGGAGAAATTACAACATTTAAAGAACTAGGATATGACAAAAATGAATCGGGTTTATTCTTTATAGTACACAGGGTAAAAATTACATGGCGAGAAAATTCAGAGGAACATAAAGGACTTTTTGGCAGGCAGCAACTGGCCACGAGTGGAATGGCTGCCTTCTGTAATAATGTATCCTTTACTCATTAAAAATACCGTGTAGAAATTACCAATCAGAGACCTGACTAATGGGAGTTTTCATTATTGTTTTAGAGTTGGGACTGAATCCTTTATAAAGTCGATCAGAGACATAATACATATCGAATAAATGAATAAATGACTTTCAATTCTAAGACCATGAGGATGAAAACGCCCAACT